TTTCACATCAGTGTCTAGTAATGTAAGTTTAGCTAGTAATCAACAATAATGTGAATGTTCACATCATCTATGTTTACAAATCAATTACAAAAACAACAACAGTTACAGGGCAATGTAAATGTTTATATGCGGTGATTACATTATGTTATCATTTGCTAAAAATCATTGGTGGAACCAACAGCACCAAACAATACCCAACAACACCCAACAACACAAACAAGTATGACATTGATGTGCAAGTGAATATTTACATCATATTTCATCACATTGTTGAGTGAAGTTGGAGGTTCTGTGACATCAACAATCAACAATATCAACTAGTGACAGTAATGTGAACATTCACATCGTTATACACTGATGTGAATGTTTACATCAGTGTCTAGTAATGTAAGTTTAGCCAGTAATCAACACTAATGTGAATGTTCACATCATCTGTGTTTACAAAATCAATTACAAAAACAACAAAAGTTGTAGGGCAATCGTAAATGTTTACATGGGTGATCACATATGTTATCATTGGCTGAAAATCAAAGGGTGGAACCAACAGCACAAACAACACCCAACAACACAAACAAGTATGACATTGATGTGACAATGTGAATATTTACATCATATTCCATCACATTGTTGAGGTGAAGATTGGAGGTTCTGTGGACATCAACAATCAACAATTATCAACAGTGACAATTCACATCAGTGTCTAGTAATGTAAGTTTAGCAATAATCAACAATAATGTGAATGTTCACGTCATCTGTGTTTACAAAATCAATTACGAAAACAACAACAGTTACAGGGAATGTAAATGTTTTTCATATGGGTTGATCACATTATGTTATCATTTGCTAAAAATCATTGGGTGGAACCAACAGCACCAAACAACACCCAACAACACAAACAAGTATGACATTGATGTGACTATGTGAATATTTACATCATATTCCATCACATTGTTGAGTGAAGGTTGGAGGTCTGTGGACATCAACAATCAACAATGACAGTAATGTGAACATTTACATCATTATACACTGATGTGAATGTTCACATCAGTATCTACTAATGTAAGTTCACCCAGTAATCAATACTAATAGGAATGTTTCAGATCATTATACACTGATGTGAATGTTCACATCAGTGTCTACTAATGTAAGTTTACCCAGTAATTAACACTAATGGAAATTTTCACATCATCTGTGTTTACAAAATCAATTCCGAAAACATCTATGTTTATAAATTCAAATCTGAAAACCAGAAGATGGATGTATACATCGGTGATCACATTATGATTGAAAAGCAGAAGGGGGAATGGTATTGCTTACTTTTGTTCCTCATGGTGGGTGGGTATGGTCACTCTCAATGGATGAAATAAACTCAATCCAACGACGAAGAAGCACCCTCCTTCCGATGTGAACCTTTGCAGCAGTGAGATGAAGAGGAATCTGGGGTCGACAGTGGACGATGACGATGTTGATTGGACGATGTGAATCTAGAGTTACTGGAGGCGATGTGAATCTGGTTTCCTGATTCAGTTTTTGTTTTGGAAATTTTGTAGATTGAATAGTTGGAATGGGAATGGGTTTTGGTAGAATCGATTACACGCGGGAGAGGCGAAGGAGGGGTATTTCGTCCTTTTACAATTAATGGACCTAATGGAATATTCAGAAATAGTTTGGGTTTTATGGAATAAAACAGTTACAAATAGGATTTATCAAAAAAGAGCCCTTGAAAAAAATTTAAATATTTTATTTCAATTTTTTTGTCACATTGCCTTAAAAATAAAGAGAGATAGACGATGAGTGTGAGATAGAAAGAGAGGGAAAAAAAAGATTAGATTGTTAAATCACTTGGTAAACTATGGTAGGATGAATTATAATTACGAATTTCGTAAATATACTTGACCGAAAGTATAATTTTTGTAATTATATATCTATTTGTTATATAATCCTTAGGACAAAACATTAATTACAACAAAATTAAATTAAAATAAAAATTGTGTAACTCAGGCTATGTTTGGAATGTTATCTTTTTGATTAAAAAGTCAAGAAATTAAAAAGTGCTAAAATGTGTTTGGCATGTAAAAAAAATAATTTAAAGTGAGGAAATTTTTGTACCGGTTTGAAAAGACCAAACAACTCTTGTGAGTGGGTGCACAGATGTTTATACCTTTGAAAGGAGAAAACAGAAAATTTAAGTAACAAACAAAAATATGACAATCACTTATTCGCATTTCCCATACAATAAAAAAAATTATTGATGTTGTCGTTTATGCTCCAAAATATCTTATTTAAAACCAAGTAAAAATAACTACTCCATAGAATAGCAGTTAAGATTAAGTGTCGATCCATAGGGACTAAAAATGAAAAATTAATTTAGAAATTTAGGATTTTATAGAGTTGATTTTTGGAGTGAAAATTAAAAATTAAACTATTAATTAAGTGAAATGAGATGAGAAAAATATCTTAGAATTTTGAATTGATCATGTATGAGCAAGAAATAATGTTCTCGTATAATCCTGTTGATCAAGTCTGCGCTCCTCCAAACGTTGTCGCTTTGCTCCCTGAAAACACAAACGTGAGCTAGCCGGTGGGTGTGTGCCGGATACCTCTTCGATGCCTAGGTCAGCAAAATAGACCAATAGACAAAAGCTCTATGTATTCGAGAATCAAAGTTGTGTTACCTCTCCATAGGTGATGTTATGAGCTTTTATAGGTTCCACGTGGCACAATTCTAGTAGGACTCTTATTCCTCCATGTAGAGTCCTCCTAGCACTACAAGAATTTACACATTTGGCGACCACTTTTGCCGACCAAAAAATTTTTGGTCGCAAAAAAATGACATTTGCCGACCAAAATATTAATTAGTCGCGAATGATCAATATTTTTGGCGACCAAAATGAGTTAGTCACAGAAGATCACATTTTGGCAACCAAAAATGAGTTAGTCGCAGAAATTGGTATGCTTTTGGCGACCAACTTCAAATTTGGTCGCGGAAGGTTACATTTTGGCGACCAAAAAAATTTAGTCGCCAAATTTGTACTTTTAGCGACTAATATTTTAGTCGCCATTGATTGAGATTTAGCGACTAAAAAAATTTGTTGCCGAAGGTAGCTTTTTTGCGACTAATATGGTGTTTTGGTCGCCAAAAGTGTTTGGGAGGGAAATTTCAAACAGGGAGGGGGGAAATGAAATTTTTTGGCGACAAAAAAAATATGGTCGCCAAAGTAAAAACGACGTCGTTTTGTACCTGGAAAACAAAAAAAAAAAATTAAAAGAAGGCTCTGATCTCCTCTGTCTCCTACTCTCCCTCTCTTTGTGTTCTCTCTCTCAATCGGCTTGCAATTGCTCAAGAATTGCAGCCAATTCCAGTCCAGATTCCAACATTTCTTCCTCAATCTTATCTTTCTCTCTCTGTCTCTCTCTCCTCAATTCCCTGTCGCAGACCCAACCCCGAACCCCCTATTACTGTCTTCATTTTCTCTCTTCCTCACTCCCTCTCTCCGCCATCCTAATCTTCATCAACAGTGGTGGCCAAACTTCCTATTTCAGCCATAGGGGAGATTTCGAAAAGAGCCACTACAAAAAGGAAGATTTCATTGGACCACCACCGTCTCCAGGGAGATCGGTACTCGGTCGTCGTCAATATTCAAGGAGATCTGAAACAGGTATTTTAATTAGTTAAGTTCTTCGTTTCCCAACCCCCCCTGAATCATATCAATCTCTCTCTCGGCAGATCTTGGTTGCTCACAACCAATTCTTAGCGATTAAGCTTTCCGATCGGTGGTCGAAGCAGCAGCGAACTTCTAACCCCTACATTGTCGAGATTGCTGACTGTGATGATGTTGAAGTTTACATTGAGGCTCTAAGTTTGATGTATTGTAAGGATTTAAGGAAGAAGCTCATGAAGGAAGATGTCACTAGAGTACTTGGAATCTTGAAGGTACTAATAATCATTTGCACATTGTAGAGGAAACTATGAACTTTTGTTGAATTTGTAGATTTATATGTTTGTACCTATTTGTATGTGTATATGAAATGATGTGTATACGTTTGTACCAATTTGCCTACATATATGTCTGTTTTTCTTGCCTTCAAACTATTTGATAAAATGTCTCTTAGGAACTACTTAGTGTAAAACAACTTTTTGGACCCATCCCCTGTTTGGGATAGAGGACAAGGTCAAAGTTAAATAATCCTAATAATACATTTGCTCATTGTGTCATGTCCCTGCTTTGACTCTTGATCTGTTTTGTTTGGTTTACATGATGCTAAAAATTGAATTTGACGTTTTCTCAGCATGCATTCTGGGCTACATACATGCTGCATTGCTTCATGTGTATCATGTCCCTGCCTTGTCTTCTGAACCTTGTTATTTGGTGTACAGGATGTGGATGCCAAATGTTTGAATTAAAGTCCTGTTACTATGCCTTATGGATCATGTGCCACTGCCTCACCACTGTATTATTGTAAATGTATATGAAATTACTTTAGAAAGCTGTCATGTTTTCTTCATCAAGGGGACCTTGGGGAAAACAAAAAAAAAGTCAATGAGATTATTGCCCGTACATCTTCATGTGACATACTGGATGGAGTAGCAATTTTTGTTATGTGTATGATCACTCAAAATTGGAAACATATGCAGCTTTGAGCTTGAATTGTTAGTATTGCAAGTTTGCAACAAAGAAAACCATGTGACTGGACCCATTTTATAATATTTATTTATAGTTGTTTTGAGTGATAGATATTATAGTTATGAGATGCAGTGCCACAAGTTGCAGCAAGTGTTTCATACTTCCATGATTAGATATTTTAGTATGGTTTGTTATGTTAACAAAGGCTCCATATTGTGGCCATTACTTTTCTTTGTATGTGCATGGATTTAATTCTCTCTTTGTGCCACTTCCTCTTAAATTTTCCCCCTTTCTTTTACTTTCAAAGTTTTGTACTTTTCGAACCATTAAAGCAGCGTTGCTTGGTTCAATGGTGAAATCCCTGGCCTGGCAATCATGGGAATACAAGTTTGTGTGAGAGTAGCCATTGCATGCAAATAATGCCAAAGGTTATGTTTGTATCTGGTTCACCCCTCCTAACGTCATTGATTAACTGGCCAAAACTAGATTGTCTTTTTTATTTTTTAAACCACCCATTTTTTATTATTACTTGAAACATCTTCCTGTTCAAATTTATACACCTCACATTGAACAGTCAGCTAGCAATACTTAGTTATCTGCAATCTCATCCCAGGATTCTTAATTTGCTGGGAGGGTGATGGATGCTCTCTTAATCCATTGATTGATGGATAAACCCTCCTTAACGTGCTACTTTGATGTATCAACTCACAGATTTGACTGTAGATTAGATTATTGTATTACATTGATTCATCTTTTTTTCTTAAATGTGTAACACACAGATTTTACTTTCATGTCCATGCAAACTAATTTTGCTATGTCTTTTAGGCATTTGCTTTTAGTTCGACTGTGAAAGCGAAGCGATTGTTTGAGGAAAGAATTAGTGAAGGATTGGAAATGTTCACAGGGTTTCTTGTATTCACCGGTTGAGGTAGAAGTGGTTGGTCAATTTTTTTTCTATTATTTTTGTTTTTTAAGGGAAGCAAAGGCACAATTTGTGGAGTGCCCAAATGATATTAATGGTATGATTGATGCTGCAAAGTTTGCTGATCTAGCTCTGCTTCTCATTGATGGAAGTTACGGTTTTGAAATGGTAAGGTCTAATTGGCATATTACTTTACCACTAAGAAATTTTTTAACCCACTTCTGTATTATTATAAGCAAGTATCAAGTCATATATGATTCTGTTATTTTGGAAATTATTTTATTTTATTTTGTTTTGTTTTTGTGCCTAGGCTTAGAGAATAGCAAGTGTGTTTTTAGCATTCAAATGGAAATGCTTTTGTTCGATTGGTAAAATGATGCACTAACCTGCATATTTATAATTTTCTTTCTGGCAATAATAATCAAATTTGATTGATTGTTAACTACAAAGTTTACGGATTTTTGAAGCTCGTCAAAATCATTGGATGGGTGTTGTGCAATGCCTGTGATCCGTAATTTATCTTATTTTGTTTTTAATTTTTTTCCCTCCCCAACTTATCCATTCTTATTTTAACTGTTTCACTCGCAATTTATTCTGAATTTATGGACATTTTTGTTGGTCTGGCTCATCTGATCTAAGTATTATTATTATTATTATTATTATTATTATTATTATTATTATTATTATTATTATTATTATATAGTAAGTCTGGTGTAATGGGGTATTTTGTTCTTGCAGGAAACTTTTGAGTTCCTTAATATTTTGCAAAATCATGGATTCCCTAAAATAATGGGAGTTCTTACACATATTGATAAGTTCAAGGATGTAAAGAAACTTAAAAAAACAAAACAGCGCCTCAAGCATCGATTCTGGACCATGGGAAGTAAGTATTTGACTGCCTCTTGTTCTGAAATCTGCAAGTTCACTTCTACCTTGTAATTAAATAATCAATACCTTAACAGAATACTCATTAGATTTATGATCCATTTTCTGATTGAGCAGGTATGCTAAATGTGAGGTTCACAATCTTGCAAGGTTCATTTCTGTTATGAAATTTCATCCTTTGTCTTGGCGAACTACCCATCACTATGTATTGGTAGATCGTTTTGAAGATGTCACACCTCCAGAAAGAGTGCATATGGATAATAAATGCAATAGAAATGTCACTTTATATGGTTATTTACGTGGATGTAATTTGAAGAAAGGAACTAAGGCACATATATATAATCTAACCTTTTCATTATATTATCACTTTTGTTTATATGAATTTCTAATGATGGAAAAGTTCTTTGGAACAATATTGTTGGTCACTCCTTGAAATGGAAATCTGCTGGACTTGGTTTATGTAGTGCAACATAAGGAAATAGAAAAATGTGTATTCTAGATAACTATCAAATTGGTTTACTTAAAATGGAAATGATTTTTTGGTTTATGTCCAGAAAAATGATTTTTTATCAAATTGGTTTACTTCAAATTGGTTTACTCTCTCAGCCTGTACGTACTCTCATATGCGTGAGACTATAGCTTTTACTGTACAATAATGGCATGTCTCAGAACTCCTTTTTAAACAGACTGATTGGTGGGTATTCTATGCGGAGATGAATAGTTGATCCAATTAACAAGAACCAGATTTTGTTATACCACCAACTTCTTTAGACAAGTAAACATGTTAAATGTAGGAAGCCCGCAGAATTAGCCGGCTTATCTGGTCAGCAACTTGGGGGTGTACTTCAGAGGAAACGAAGCAACGACAATTTATTCCCTCAAAATACTGCTTTGGTTGATGAACAGTCAAGTGATCTGAATCAAAATTCAATTAGGTGACTCCTGTAACTTTTTATACATGTGATTCTCTTCTTTAGACAAGTAAACATGTTAAATGCAAGAAGCCCGCAGAATTAGCCGGCTCATCTGGTCAGCAACTTGGGGGTGTACTTCAGAGGAAACGAAGCAACGACAATTTATTCCCTCAAAATACTGCTTTGGTTGATGAACAGTCAAGTGATCTGAATCAAAATTCAATTAGGTGACTCCTGTAACTTTTTATATATGTGATTCTGAATCACATGTTTCTAGATACTTTTAATTTTTAAATCACCTATGTTTTCTAAGTTTATTCAGTTTCAATATTTGTATTGGTTTCAGAGTAAGCATTTATGTCATAGATGATGATTGAATTTTGCCTCGGTCATATGTTCTTGTTTTTTTTTTGTCCATCAGGAATGTGGTTGAAAGAGGGTTTCAAGCTAGTAATCTCTATTTGGCTAAGGTCTGTATATATTGAGATTGTTGCAGAAACACAGTTCAATATGACATTCCAAGACAATCTCATAGTTTTTGCATGCAGGCATGGTTTCATAGTTCTCAACCAATGACAAGAAGTCGGTCCTCTGAATTACGGTAGCATTCTTTTTGTCATTTAATAATGTTGATAAAAATTATATCCATGAGATTTTCAGTTAGTTGCTAGCAGTAGCACTTTGCCAAACAAGTCATACACCACATGTCCTAGTAAGACATTGTCACTTGGAGGATAGTTATTATTATTTCAATTGTAGGCTGAGCTAAATACTTGCAAAATGAGAAATTTGGGGCTTAATTAATCCAAGTTTGTATGATTTAATTTCTTTACAAAAGAGAAAAAGTCATTTTCTTGGATTCATCCTAGTAAACACTTCCTTTGCAGGAGGAGGTATGTTTCCATGCAGAACTCTCAAACATCACTTGGTGTGGAAGCCATGCATAATGTATCTGGGCACGGTGTCAACAATTTGAGACAGCAATTTGCAAATCCAAATGGATTTGGTGATGTTTCAATGTGTGAAATTCCTAACCACTTTAACACATTTATGTCTCCATCCAATTCAGCTTCATCTACTTTCAATGCCCCTCATACCGATAACATAGACAAAGTTTTCTCTGTTGTGAGCATGCTGAAGGGGACATTAGAACACAAGAAGCTTAGTAACGAGACTGTTGAAGATATCTCCTTGGAACTTTATGGTGCTCAAGAAGCTTATATTTTTGTATAGACGTATATGAAAAATATTAGGGTAGACTAGTAGTTATATTTTTGGATATACTAGTAGATATATTTTTGGATGAGTGTGTATAGAAAATATTTGGTAGATTACTAGTTATATTTTTTGGTTGATGTACATGGATAAAAATTTAAAACATAACAATGAGTACTTGTTATGTTTTAAATTTTTATGCTAGATGAAATATGTAGTT